CATTACTGTCACATGCTCAGAGATGTCAAAATAAAAAGGATAAGGTCTATCCACTGGATGTGGCAGGTAGTCCTTTTGGTGACCTGGACTAGAGCACTGCAGGGAGGGGAGAGTGGGAGAGGAAGCTAGACTATAGACATGAAGCGTTAGCGGGATGTGAGGAAGCGGAGAAAGCAATTATAGCAAGCCTTCTGCACACGCAGGGGTGGGGCGGGGGCTCAGTTTGCCCCTGGTATGGAAGGACAGTGATTCTGTAGAAGTGGACAGTGCTCTGCTCTCCTCTGTAATTTATGGTACAGGACAAGCTTAGAAGGATGCCTCTCAATCTTAGCTGCGCCCTCCCCGCCTCCCCCTCCCCCAGCGCTGCAGTGATAAAAGTCCCAGGATCCTTTTCTGGAATGGCAGAGAGGGAGGGGTTTTGGAATGTGGGGATACCAGACACCCAGCTACCCTGGCCAGGAGCCCACAAGCTCTCAAAGCCCCCAGGGCAGTGTAATAGGCCTCCTGTACCTTCTCACGCGAGGGTCCTAAAACAGGCAGCTGGGACTCTGTCAATACTCCAGACGTGCTGCCTCCGAGAGCTCAGAAAGGTTTCAAAGGCCATCCTTGTGCTCTGGGGAATTCATCTGGTTTGGACCAGGCAATGACTCCTCAGCAGTGAGAATCACAGACACACACAATCACAGATAAACACCATGCACCCTGTCCGTCCGAGAGCAAAGCGTGTCTTAGGAGAAGTGAGGCTTTCCTTTCGTAGAGCTGTAGCAATTCTACATTGATACCTCATTTGCCACCACCAGGCATCTGGTAGACCTCTGCACTTTGATAACTAGCCAGCCTGCCATGAGAGAGCAGCCGGGAGAGGATGCAGAATGCAGCAGGTAAGCGTGTGGAGTCTGTGGTTAGAGGGCTTGGGTTAAAACTTGGCTTCATCACTTCCTATCGGTGTGCAAATCGCTCGGCTTCTCTACCCCTTATCTCCCCCGATTTAAAAAAGGATTAATAACAATACCCATCTCATATGATTGATGGAAGGATTAAAACAGGAAAAAAATAGGAAAAGGCCTTAGCATAGGACCTGATACATCAATACTGATCCATCACTAGATGTTAGCTATCCTGGTCGCTGCTGCTGGCAGTGCTCCGCAGCATGGCCATGGTCTGGGGTTGGGTTCTGCTTCCGGCTGACGGTGTCTGCCAAGGGCTTTTAGCCTGTGGGTGCCGCAACTGCTCCCAATGCTGAGCGGCCCCTCTGGCCACCATCTAAAAGACACGATACTCAATCTTTCACCAAAGCACAAAAAACGCCACTCAAACACATGTAGCAAAGCACTGCCAGGAAAATGGGTGTGTTGATTAAGGTTTTATGAGTTGTATTTTTTTCTTTAAACCTACAGTGCAAAATGTTTACCTTGACCTATCTGAAATCTTTATTTCTTTCTAAAAAACTTACCTGATTATAAAAAAGTCATTGAGAAGATGACAATTCACTTAGTAAGTGTCTAACAATTATGCTGAAGTGATCTTACATTTATAGCCCCAAGATATATCATCTCAATTCATCCTCTTGACTAATGAGTTAAGTAATGCTCAGACTTTCCAAAGATCACACAGCCTGTTAAGATATGAGAACTTTCTGTCTCCAAATCTCAAGTCTTTCCAATCTACTGTGCATTGGTATGTGTCAAAATAATTATTTTTTTTCTAGTAGCTCTCTCCATGGGAACAGTGTTTTATCAACATTCCTCACACCCTCACTTTCCTGAGGGCAGATATTAATATCCATTCATAAAACAAACAATAAGTGCCTACTATGTGCTAAAGGCTCTGCTAAGTGTTGGCATCCATGAATGTCTCTATTCTAAGAAGTGCAGAACCTACTATGGCAGAAGAAACATCAACAAATTAAAAATACAATAAAGAGCTATGTCTGTAGCACTGGTAATACAGATTGAGAAAAGAGTAACTGGGTGCATGCAAAGGGGTGGAGGTCACAGACGACTTTTCCATTCCATGAGACCAACAGATGAAGGGCCTCAATCCAATGTTTAGAGCAGAGAAGATGCTCAATAAATTTGAGTTCCTTTGGATCTTCTGCCCAAAGATGTATCCAGGCAGGCAAGTTTCAAGAATAAGGAATGAAAGGAGGATCTCCCAACAGAGAGCACAAACATATGAGAGGGAACAAGCCGGCTTCCCAGAGGAGCAGGACTCTGCAGCCTGGACTACACGGCACATCAGCATCCCTTCCATTACCACTGCCTGATCCACTACCTGTGTGCAGGTGTGGGAGTCAGTGACTGGGTGAGCACAAGGAGGAAGGAGGCTTAGGATGGAGTGAGAGTGAAATAAGGTTGGGAAAAAAACAAACAAATAAAAACAAACAAAGAACAAAAACCCCACCTGTGGGACTGATGGTATAATACATGTAATTGGAACCCTGAGAAGGGAGGTGGGACAGAAAAAAATATTTGAAAACAATGTCAAAACTCCCAGATTTGATTTTAAAAATTAAGTATGGATCCATAGATCCAAGGAGAAAAATAAACACAAGCTAGGGTTTGTAAAGAAAACCATAACAAGATCATTATAATCAAATTATTGAAAATCAGTGATAAGAAGAAACACTCAAAAAGCAGCCAAAGGAAAATAAAAACATTATAAACAAAGTAAAAACCTACTAGAATAGCTAAAACTAAAAACACTGATGACACTGATATAGAAAACCTAAAACTCTCATATACTGCTGGCAGGAAAGCAAAATGACGTAGTTAATTTTTAAAAAGTTTGCAATTTCTTATATAAAGTGAAGCATACATCTTGTCCACAAATGTGTATAGTGTCTCTATTTTAAAAGCTAAAAACTGGAATTAACCCAAATGTCTTTTGAGTGCTGAACAGATAAACAGACTATTACATCCATACCAGGGAATACTACTTAGCAACAAAAAGGAACAACGGATCCACACAACACATGGGTGAATCTCAAATGCATTTTAATAAGTGAAAGAGGCAGACTCAAAAGGCTACGTACTGTATGATCCCATTTATATGAAATTCTGGAAATATTATAGGGACAGAAAACTGATTAGTGGTTATCAGGGCCGGCGGCTGGGGGGGCGGGGGGTCAGGGGAAGGTTAAGTGTATAGGAGCACAAGGAAACTTAGGGGGATGCTGACAGAAATGTTCTACTGATGGTTCTGCAACAGGCATGCATTTACCCAATTCACACAACTACACTAAGAAGCCATTTTTACTGCTTGTAAATTACACTTTAACAAACCTTATTTTTACTAAAAGTATGATACATCCCTACAATTATATATTATGAAATCATTTAAAAAATAAGATGGATCCATTTATACTGGTAAAAGGATAATCTCTAACATATACTATTAGGAGTAAAAAGCAAGATACAGAACAATAAATACAGTATGTCCCCATTTATGGTAATACTGACTATCTCTGGGGAAGGGACCTAGAGTGGGAGTACATATCCTTTGGCCTGTTTGAGTTATTTACTTTTTTTAAATCGCATGCTCACATTACTTTCAATTAGAAAAAGTAAAAGAAACTATTTACAGGTCAAGGAAAACTCACAGGTGTCTGGCCCAGAGGACTGAGAAAACACAGGTAAGAATATGGAGCATAGTGCCAGATACTTAAGAGGTGCTCAGTAAATAGCTGGGGGAAGCAAAATATTTGGAATCAATTCAGAGGCAAATCCAGGACAATCTCAACACCAGATTTTCAGCCAGAAGGGCCCCTGTTTTACACAAGTAGCTGAGTTTGCATCGCTCAGTTAGAAAAAGAAAAGGAGCATAAAACCCACATACCCTGGATTTATGCTTGGGCAGGCTTTATGTTTCTCAGCGCCCTTGTGCAGCACACTCTGTGCCCTAACCGCAGCCTTCCGAGGGATGGGGTGCAAGCCCTTTCCCCAGGGAGTGCAGCCCACCCCAGGGCTGCTCCGGTGGCCCAAGAGCTATTCATATGCCCGGAGGGTCCTGAGCAGCCTTTCCCCGGCCCCCCAGGTCAGACACTCCCATAATTTTCTGACAGTCTCCCTGCGCTCCAGGCTGCAGACAAGACAATCTCTGCACGGTCAGGCCCAGCTCCACACGAAGGCTTCAGTGAAAGAAAACCCGAAAGGAAAAGGCAGGTAAGTAACCAAGGCCCTCGGCAGCATTTGGTAAAAGGAGCTCCCAGGGTTTGGCACAGCTTTGTTCAGCAAGCCTGTTATCAAGGGAATCAGCAATCCAGAATGCAAAGTGGACAAGGAGAGATGGTGTCAAAATAGCCAGCCTCAGAGACTCCTCTTTGATCCCTGCTTTATTTGGCCTTGCCGCTCCTAGCTTCCAAAAATGTTTGACCATTGCCCTGGCTGGTAGGCTCAGTTTGGTTGGGCATCATTCCAGTTCAATTCCTGGTCAGGGCACATGTCTGCCCGGGTTGCCAGCTCAATCCCCAGTAGTGGGGGCATGCAGGAAACAGTCAATCGATGTTTCACTCTCACATTGATGTTTCTCTCTCTCTCTCCCCCACTCCTTTCTTCTCTCTCAGTAAAAAACAACAAAACAAACAAACAAAAAAACCTTTAAAAATTAAAATAAATAAATAAACAGTTTGGCCACTGATACTATGACTAGGCTCTCCTGTACTATGTATGACTGGGCCACTGCCTTGCCTGGCTGCCTCTGGATGCCTGGTTTCCACAGGGCACCACACAGGTTCTCCCTCTGCCTCTCCCACAGAACAAGCTGTGCAGGTAGGTGAACAGGGGATGAGATACAGCAAGGGCACGGAGTGGGATTGGGGTGGGAACTAACTAAAAGCAAAGTCCTTTCCAGGGACCCACAGATTCAAGGACACAGAAGGGAAGTTACGACAGAATCTTGTTTCCTCTGGAGCGCATCACTTGCCCTGAGGGCAGGGTTTCTGACTCCCACGCCAGGGGCCAGGCAGGCTGTCTCGGTGGTGGGAAGAAAGGGGCACTTACCGGGGGAAGATGGCAGTCATCAAGGCTGAAGCATAGCCAGGCTTGCAAGCTCCCTCTGAGAAGTTTGCGTACTTGGTGGCTAACTCCGCAGGCCTGTGGGAGGAGAAGGAGAGTCACAGCCTGCCAGGTACTCAGCAGCCAGGGGGTTACCGGTTTGTGAAGAGCTGTAGGTGTTAAGCCTTGAATAAAGCTTCATTCCCTACCATCAGCACGTAAGTCCTTCTTCTACACCAAGGCTTCAGGGGAGGCAAACCCTCCCGAATCAAAAAGCCCTAAAGGACTAGGTAGGTAAATAAGCAAGGCCCATCCTGGAACTTGGTAAAAAGAACTCACTGGGTTCGCATAGATTCTCTGCAGTAACTCTGATACCGAGGAAATCAGGAACTCCATCCCGGCTCCCAGACTGGGAAAGTAGAGCCTGGACATCTGAAGAGAGAGCTGCTCAGGCTTCGGTCAAGTCAGCGGCACTGCCCTTTCCACATCCTCGATATGCCCCCGGCCAGCCTCATCTGCCTCGATGCTCTCCAGCCTTGGGAGCCGCTCAGGGTGCCCTGAATACAGATCACATGTACGCTGGGGCTATTTACTGTGCCCGTCAGACATTTAGTTGAGAAAGCTCTCGTGCTCTTCTATTCTCTCTGCCTAGAGTGTTCTTCCTTGTCCTTCTCTACTTGGCTATGCCCACTGGGTTTTCAAAACTAAGCTCCGATGTCAACTTCAGTGTGAGTAATTCCCTGACCTCCAGACTGCCCCCCACCACCCACACTACATGCTAACTCCCATCAGCACTCGCTGTCCTGTGCCGTCATTGTTGGTAGCATGTCTCCCTCTTTACACTGTAATTTCCTGAACTCAGTCTGATTGAACCCTACGCCCCAGTACCTTACACAGAAATGGGCAAACAAAGACCCTTATAATTTTATTAAGGAACAAAATGACCCTGAAAGTCTCACTGTACTTGGACTGGAACCAAGACAGTCTTGGGAACCCACAAGTCAGAGGTGGCTGAGTATTTTTCAGAAGACTTGTGTGTTTTAGCCCTGGCTTTGTTGCCGTGTGGCTGTAGACAAGTCACCTCATACCTTTGGGATTCAATGCCTTTGTGTGTTCAGTGTGGGGCTGGAGTAGTTTAGAGAAAACTACATGGGAAGACCAGGATACTTTCAGTGACTGCTGGGGCTGGAGGCCCTGCCTGCTGGGGCACCTGAGGAAGTCCCGGCTGGCTGCCAGTTCCCAGTCCCAGCCTCCCCCCACCGCCGCCCTTGGACCTGCTGCCAAAACTGATCATTCTGATGCCCAGCTGCTCTACTGTGCTGGGGCCCTGTGGCAAATTTCCCTTAGAGCCGCCTCCCGCAGGGACTGGGTGGGGTCATATAAGGTGGTGGTGTTGCGGGGGGAGGGGCTGGCACCTGCACTAGATAGCCAGAAACAATGGGGCACTGCCTATCATGGGCCACGTGTGACTTACTCATGTGCCCCTAAGGGCCTATCCCAGGGTAGTACACAGAGTAACTGCTCAATGAATTTAGACAAACTCTTCTGTATCCATGTGCAATTTCTTCTAGAAATCCATGTATTTTTTAGCCGTCCCTACCAATGAAATTTAAAGCCTGAAATGCAAAAGCAAATGAGTAGTGACAGGCCAGGGCAGGGACTTTATTTGGTAGGCAAAAGAAAGTCAAAGCTTAATAAGAAAATTTACATAACAATATTTTTCTTATGGAAACAACTCTATTTCAGAAACAAAATGGAAACTACATTTCAATTACTAAACTTACTGGAAGTTTGGACTAGCCACAGTGATGAAAACTATAGATTTTTTAAATTACTCCTCTCAATAGCCATGTGCTATTCATTATTAATTTATACACAAGCTCAGGAAGATGAAGAGACTTATCCAAAATCACACAGCTAGTAAGTGACAGATACTGGATTTGAACCTGTTTCTAACACCAGTGCAGGAGCTCTTAACATGGCATTGCCAGCAGCGTGGATCGCAGGAAGTGCCATCACAGGGAAGCGCAGTCTAGGGCTAGTGCGCAAGTGGCAAGAGATGGGAAGAGGGTCAAAAGTGTGTATATGAGCAGCGAGGCACCTTGTGTCCCTCATATCCTTGTCTCCCGATCCCCCGCCACCTGCCTGCCCACCTTGTACAGTGGGTACCTGCGGTCCTTCTGAATTCTAGTAAGTTTCACAAAGAATATGAAAGATGAATGGCAGTTGCCTCTTTAACACAGTGCACTGCATAAATACACGTACAATAAGAGACAAACCTTTGGCCGCCTCTTTCCTCTCTAGTTTACACCATCAACTTTTGGCAAGGTGCTTTAAGAATAAGGGCTATGGGACAGTCCAGGGTCCATGGGCTCAGGTAACCTTGGGCAGAGAAGAGGGAGCACCCGCAAGATGGAGCACAGGGAGCCAGAACCCGGCAGGAAAGGCTCTTTTCATGGCAGTGCAAGGTAGTCACACATCAAGGATGATCGGCTTCTGCCTCCGCCCAATTCAAAAACCAACAGTAACTTCAAAAACACAGGGCCCTGGGTACAGTGGGTGGGTCAAATTATTACCAAATTAAAATGCCTTAGAGATGGCCTTCTGACTATCCCAGTAAGAGAAGAATAGGGGGAGTGTTGGGAACTCTGAGTCATACAGCAGGCTGGGACCCCTGGGGCAGTTAGCGGTCAAAACCACCAAGACTAACAGTCGCCAACTCCCTGAGGCCAGAATGGTTAGTTTCTCTAAGGCACTCACACTCCAAATGCCAGGAGGCCCCCACAGATGTCTGATCCAATCATGCAGCCCTTGTTCTTCTCAGACTCTGCAGCTGGCCTTTCATTTCGGGAGCTTTAGCATTTCAAACAGTAAGAGCACCCATTGTCCCACACACGTGACTACCAAGCCCCTGGGGTGAAGAGTGGAAACCGCTGCACTCACACAAGGAAATCCAGATGGACAGCCTGGAATCTGAAAGAAGGAACCAGACCTCACTCCCCAGCTTCACTCAGAAGCACCATGTTGAAGGAACCAGGCCAAGCAATGGGTTGTAAGTAAGAAGCGCAGGATCTGGAATCAGAAGCGTTCTCAGAGGACATCGGCGAGCTGTGTGGCCTTGGGCAAGCGATGGAAAATCGGATTCTCAGCTTCCTCATCTGCAAATGGGAAACCCTCAGGTCCCAGGGATCTTGGGGGGATGTGGTGAGAAAGCCCACGTGGAGGGCAGCACCACACATGTGCTGTGAGAGATGAGGTGGCAGCGGCCGGCAGCCAGGCTTTGAACACTTGGCTCAAGTTGGGGTTCTGTCACCGGGAGAGTCACTGGGTGATTTCCAGTGGAAGAGTGCATTTTAAGGCTCAACATCTGGGAGACAAAGAGTAGCTTTAGCATTTAGCACTGCAAGAGGAGAGAGTGTGATGTCTCAGTTGCCAAGGGAAGGAAGTTATCTCAAGAAGGGCAGAGGGACCAGCTGTGTCAAACATAGGGGTAGGCCTGGTGTGGCCCCAGGACTGACAGCTGGATTTGGCAACATGAAGTTACTCCAGACCTTGAAAAGAGCTGTTTCACTGAAGGGGTGAGGGCGAGGGGACGAAATGCTTATTTCATTGGATTTAAGAGAAACGGAAGAATTGGAGACATGGAATATAAACTAGAGTTTTGCTATAAAGGAAGACAGAGAAATGAGGCAATTAGCTGGATGAGAGAAGCAAGGCAATATTTTAGCATGTTTATAAGCTGCTCAGAATAAGAGAAAAACTCATGAGTAGTTGAGATGGAACAGCTGTAGGAAAAATGCCTTTGCGTAGGTGAGGGGAAAGGACTTAATACAAAAGAAGGGTTGGCCTTATCTCTGCTCACCCTGCCCTTCTCTGTGATCACCTATGCATCCTGCAATATTCAGTTCAAGCACTGCTTCCTTTATGAAGCTTTTCATGATTACTTCCCTTCCGGAGTAGGACCAGCCCTTTCTGCCTGTGGACCCCATCTTACCTAGAGCTGACTTCCACCTTCAGCTTGCCCACTTGTCTCCACACACTCTCTTTCTCTCCCACCTCCCTCCCTTCCTTCCTCTCATTCATTCATTCAATCAACAAATATGTAGAGGCTACAGAGTGACTTTGGGCACGTTATTTAATTACTCTGTGCCTTAATTTCCACATCTTTAAAACTGGGATTACAGTAGTACTTCATAAAGTTGTTGTGAGGATTATGTTGAGAAAAAGGTGCTTACTACAATGCCTGGCACATAGTTTCTTTCTAAATACATGTTAACAGTGACAGTCTTATTGTTATCTGCCAGACACTGGCCTGGGATTAGGGCTAAAATGACCAGAGCAGTCATGGCCTGGCACTCCTTATACTAAGAAGTAATGATCCATTTACATATATTTTAAAAAATCAATTAATTAATTAATTTAATTCTTTATCCTCACCCAAGGAGTGAGGATATTTTTTCCATTGATTATTAAAGAGGATGAGGCAGGGGAGAGGAAGAGAGAGAGAAACATTGATGTGACAGAGACACGTATGCCCCGACTGGGGGCAGGGGTTGAACCTGCAACCCAGGTATGTGCCCTTGACTAGAAACGGAACTCACGACCCTTCGGTGCACAGGTTGACACTCTAACCACAGAGCCATGCTCACCAGGGCATCTACTTATCTTTTTCTCCTAGACCAGAGGTTGCCACATTTTTTTGTGCCACGCCTCACCTAAGCATCTCTAAAATCCTGATGCCCCTGCTGTGACACATAATTCTTATTATTCAAATGTGAACTCCTATTCACGTGGAGGAAGCCTAAAAGGCCATGAACGTGATCTAAACAAGCTTCCAAAGACATGGAATCCATAAAAGAGAAAAATAAAGAACGAAAGGACAGTTGAAGTATTGAAGAAGAAATCACTAAGAAATTGTTAAAAAATAATAATATGACCCTAACCGGTTTGGCTCGGTGGATGGAGCATCGGCCTGCGGACTGAAAGGTCCCGGGTTCGATTCTGGTCAAGGGCATGTACCTTGGTTGCGGGCGCATCCCCAGTAGGGGGTGTGCAGGAGGCAGCTGATCGATGTGTCTCTCTCATCGATGTTTCTAACT